AAAAGTTCATTAAAATTATTAAAATAAAATTAAAAAAAGACTTATACTTTGCCTATATTAAGGCAGATATAATAAAATATGCAAAATATTTTTTCAATTCTAACTTTTTGAAGCAAAAAGTGTAAATTAATCTAATAGTATGTACCAATTTTCCAAATGTTGAGAAGCATATTCAAGGCCAGGTTGATACCAGTAAAGTCTTTGCTACAGACAGCTTGATTCAGGGCTTTTTAAGTTGGGCTATTTTCATAGTCCTTGTACTAAATCTTTACAAATAGCAGGCAAAACCAGAGGAGCCACCTGCCAGCTTTGTGGGAATGATATGGGAACTTAGAATTTAGCTTTTCTTTTCTCCCAAATCCTTAAATGAAAAGTTCACATACATAAAGTAATATGAATGCTATTTAGCATAATCAGAAGCCAAGAAATTGTTGAAGCTTGATGAGCTTATCAGACACATACTGCTGGATACATGGCCTTCTTGATGCTTCAGATACATTCTCTAGATAATCAATATGTAACTTTTACTCTCTTCAAATGTTAAAACACAAGCATCAATGTTTTAAAAACTGTCTTATGTTATGTTGTTGTTCTGTCCCATGGAGTAGGAACTGACACATGGCTGACTCTCCTGAGGGTTTTCAGAGGCAGTTAACTGCATGGGAGGAGATTGTCCATCTTTCTTTCACGGAGCAGTTGGGAGCATCAAAACCATGCCTACAAGATTGCAGCACAGCTTCTTGCCATTAGGCCACCAAGTTTATTGTTTCTCTAGTTAGTCTTTTCAGAATTCAGAAAATGGTGCTTCATTGATATAATGAGAGACGTTACCAGGTTGTGTGCCATTAAGTCAGACTAACTCATAGCTAATCCTCCAGTGGATTTTCAGAGGCAGTAAACTGCATGGGAGGAGAATGCCCATCCTTCTCCTACAGAGCAGCGGATTCAAAGCATGTCTTTTTGGATTGCAGTGCAGATGCTTAGCATGAGGCCACCAGCACTCCCTAACAGGTTACTTAGGAATTCTTAGTTGTCTGTTTGTTTGTTTCAAAAAAAAAAAAAAAGTAAACAGTTACGCCTTTACCTCCTACAGGCCACTAAATTTTAGGAGATTTCCTGGTTTAAAAAAACAAAATTGCAACTGTAGAGCCAGAGGCTGTGATGATTCACTGGCAAACACCAGAGGCTAAACAAGCAAACATTCCCCAGAAACAACTTTAGGCTGTGGTGGCAAGAACGCTCTGAGCGGCCGGCCGGCATCTAGCTTCTTTTGGATTTCATCAGAATCACCAACTTCTCATTAAGGTAATCAGACACACTATGCAGTGAGATAGGAGAAGGAAACTAAATATCAACAAGTAAAATGTGGAATACCTTGCTTTTAGCTAATTCCATTTCCAAACTGGATTTTTCTTGTGCTGTTTCTTTCTCTGCTTTCTCAACCTGCCCAAGGAAGGTGAGGGGAAATGAGTCCATTTTAAAGCAGTTGACAGGCTCTCCTTAGAGAAGTCACACCCTACATATCAAAGAATACCTACACTGCAGAGATAGCACCTCCTCTCAGAAAAAGGGCCAACCAATCAGGGAGTTTCTGAGGCAGAGCAGACTTCACAAATAGCCCTGCAATTAGAAAGACACGTCTGCAAGTCAGACTCTGCTGGTTCCTTCCTAAGAGGGGAGACAGGGCTGGTCCCTATTTGCCCTCAGTGTTCCACTTCTTCAGGGAAAATCCTGCAATCTGACCCTTTAATTAGCCTGAGGATATGTTAATAAAAAGTTAACAGTCACTAAGACAGTGAGGATGGCATAAGAGAGGGCAAGGCTGAGATGTGTTGTTTGTAGAGTCACTGTAAGTCACAGTTAACTCAAGGCCCATCACAACAACGCTGTTCATAAGGGCAAACTTTAGTATTTGGCACAGAACTAGTTCACATGCTAATTGATACAAGATCTCTTTAAGGTTCTCCTCTTATCTTTTGCATTTAATGTAAACTTTGAAAGTGAGATAACCACCACTGCCAGGAGGTGACAGAAATCAGCTTCCCCCTACCTCTCTCAGAAGCCTTTGTTTCTCCTCTAGGAGAGACATCTTCTCTTTAAGCGATGCTTCCAATTCATCTCGTAATCTTGCGATAACTGATTCCAGCAGCTCTTTGTGCACACCTGTCTTCTTCTCTGCAGCCTTTGCCTTCTGGGTACACTGGTTATGCTCATGGATTAAATGGTCCCTGTAGGAAGAGAACAAGGAGATGCTGAAAGCTATTGAGTACTCTATTCCAACAGAAATAGTAACTAAATGTTCTTATGGAATATATATCCTGTCTGAGAATAATTAACCAAATGTTCTAATAAAAATAAAATTCCTTTGATCCTGAGACCAAAAGAAATAGATGGTGCCTGGTTACTATTGTTGACTGTTCTGAAAAAAAAAAAGATAAGTGATCATGGATAGAGTGGCAGAAAAATGTAGAACTAAACTCAAAATAACAAGAAAGATCAGGCTCACTGGTCTGCTGGTGGCTGAGAGAAGTCCTGAAACTTTGGCCCTTGTTTGTTGCCCCTGAGTTGACTAATACTGACCCTATGGACAAAAGACCTAACCTCTGTCCTGTGCCGTCCTCATCATCTGTGACACCCTTGAGTGCATCGCTGCAGTCACAGTGTCAGTCCATCTCATTGAGGCTCTTCCCTGTAAGCTTGGAATTTATTTCACTCCCTGTGGCTCAACTTTCACCAAATAATCCATAGGCCTATGTGGTTCAACTTTCAGTCAAACAATGGACAATCCTATACAATGAACAATAACCCCAGGAAGGTATGTATTCCTTACAGAAATCAACCATAGGAGGAAAAAAAAAAGGGCCAGCATTTTCCCAGGGATAAAGCTCAGATAGCAGGAAGGGACAGGAATGAAGGGCCAATGGAAACAGTACACACTGGGAAAACTGGGCAGAGTGCTGTACATTATCGGGGAGTGTAATCAATGTCTTCAAAGAAAATGCAAATGAATTGTTGAATGGAAAATCAACTTACTCTGTAAACAATCAAAGAAAAAAGAAACAAGTTCCTTGAAGGCACAATCTTAATCTGTTTTATCTCTTTTTGGATAGCAGAATTAAATTTTTCCATTAAGGGAATGAAAAACAAATGCAAGAACAAAACGTAGAAAAGAAGCTGCCCATAATTTACTTACAGATGTACCTGGAGTTGTATTCTTTCATTATGAGCAGTCTGTAGTTCTCTTGTGATATTGGCATGGGCAGCATCCAGCAAAAAGTTTTTTTCTTTAAATGTCTCTGTCATTTGCTGTCTTTCCTGAGTGTCAAGAGTAAATATTAAAACCTGAGCTGCCAGAAAGTTATTTGATCAGGGTCATTAATAATAAAAGACAAGTTTGCAAGAATGTGGTCTCAAAAACAGAAACTCTTTTTCAAGGAATTTGTTTTCATGCCAGTATTCGCTTTACTCCCACCCCAAGGTAATCAGAATTCCACAATTTTATAGCTCCCCTAGGCAATAGTCAAGATGTATTGGTTGGCTTTGTATTTATGTTCTTAATTATGTTGAAGAATTTATCTTAGATCTCCATTTTGTTGAGCATTTTTATCAAGAAAGAATGTTAAATTTTGACAAGACTCTTTTTGTAATATGGTTCTTTCCTTCATTTTATTCATGTGGTGGATGACACGGATTTTTTTTCCTTCTTATGTTGAACCACCCTTGAGTAGCTGTTATGAATCCCTCTTGCTCACAATATTTGCCTCTTTTGACATGATATTAGATTCTATTGACTAGGATTTTGTTGGGAATTTTTATGACTGTGTTCATGAAGGATAATTGTCTAAATGTTCTCTTTCAGTGATTATTTTGCTGGCTTCAGTACTGGGGTTATGCTTGCTTCATAGAATGAATTCAAGACTATTCCAGTTTATACTATATTCTGAAATAGTTTGAGTAGAATTGGTATTGCCTGACTCAGGACAGGGAAGGGTTCAGAGCTGCTTTAAAAAGGGTCCCTATGGGCCATAGGTGACTCTACGGCACATAACAAAACACCACCACCACATTATATTGGTTATTTTTTATTTAAGCCTCTTGTTTAGAGTCAACAAGAGCTTGTGGAGGGCCTTTGTATTTAAAAGTTGGTTGTTCTTTTATTTTAGGGGAACACTATTTTAAGTGGTACAACACTCTTTTGGCAATTTGCTGTACCGGGTAACCTAGGGTTACCATTAGGGTGTCAAATGCCATGACAGTTACCCATGGTGGACAGTGTTTGGTGGAGCTGCCAGTTTAAGACAGGTTTGGAAGCAGGAGTGGCGTCCACTTCCTAAACAACATGCTTCTGGAAACTATGAACTTTGAGAAATGATGATAGTTATAGAAAGCCTTCAGGCCATTTGTTCATAGGGTTCACTATGAGTCATGCTAGACTCGATGGCAAACAACAACATACTCTCAATCTTTGGCAGAATTCACTGGTGAAGCTCTTCTGAGCCAGGACATTTTGGGGTTGGAAGTTGTTGTTAAATTTGTTTTACGGTAGATCCGTTAAAATTTTTTACATTAGTTTAGGTAGGCATTTCTTTTCTAAAACTGCATTCATTTCCCCCTAGGTTTTAATACTGGTTGGACTATAGCTCTTGATACTGTTGCTATTAACCTTTTTCAGTTGGTTCTGTTTTGACACACCACATTTTAGCTCCTATTCATCTCACTTGCATGTTCTCTTTTTGCTAGATTTGTCAGAGACTTGTCAGTGTTATTAATCCTTTCAGAGAATCAATTTCTAGTCTTGTTGATGCTACTGTTTTTCAGTTTCATTTATTTCTGCTAAAATTTGTTCTTCTAGAGAGTGTAGAATTTGCTTGCTGTTCTTTTTCCAATTGTTGATGTTGAATTAAGGTATCTTTCTTCTTTTTTGATCTTTGTGTTTGCTATTAATTATCCTCTCAGTATGGCTTTGGCTGTGTGTCCAAGGATTTTGGTATATTTTTTTATTCTCATTTGTTTCAAGAAAGTTTTTCATTTTTATTTTTTTTTCTATTACCTTGTGTTGTGGTCAAATGGAGTGATATTTAGTTTCCATGTAATTGGTTTTATGCCCTTGATCTGCACGTTGTTGATTTCTAACTTTATAGAAATGTGATCTGAGAAGATTTTTTTAAAATTTACTGAGGTTTGCTTTGTGACCAGCATGGTCTATTCTGGAGAATTCTCCATGTACATTGGAGAATAACATATATTGTGCTCTTGTTGCATGGAGTGTTCTATATATGCCTACAAGATCAAGTTGGTCAAGGGTATTATTTAGTACTTCTGTAACTTTGTTGTATTTCTAATTGTTTCATCCTTCATCAAAAATGGTTTATTGAAGTCTCTTAATGTTATTATGTTGTATCTGTAAGAGCAAAGTATAAAACTAACAAGCATACAAATATAAAACAAGCATGCATGTTATAGGAAAGGTGTGTCGAGGACATGACAAGAAGTGGGATGCCCAGCCTGAATCAGAGTTTCTGCTGACTTCAGAGGAGCCTTCTTCTCAGAGCTGTGATGCTGGTGAAGAGTTCTGAATATACCATGGACTGCTAAGAGAACAAACAGGTTCATTCTAGAGAGGGTGAAACCAGGCAGCTCCTTGGAGACAAGGATTCTGAAGCTTCATCTCACATACTTTGGGCATTTTGCAAGGAGGGACCAGTTCTTAGATAGGGACATCATGTTTGGGAGAGTAGAGGGACAGCATAAGATAGGCAGACCGTAGATGAGATGGATTGACTCAGTGACTAGGGTAAGAAGAGTAGGTGTGTCAGAGATGATACAATTGGCTCAGGGTTCAGAGCTGTTGTAGATAGGGTCTCTATCATTCACAAGTGACTCGATGGCACATAACAACAGAGGAGCCTATGCTAACCTGCCTGGCTAAAGATGGTGTCTATTTTGCCATTCCAGAGGATGAGTGCCTACTGGTCAGAGGAGGTTCCCTCTCTAGTCTGTGAAGTGTATACAGACCAAAGTGACACAGTCCACAAGTCCTGTGAAGAACACTCTGAGAGCTTCTGACTCCAGAAACAGGACAGCATGGGCATGGCCTGAGGTAAAGCTGGGTTTTGGTGCAGTGAAGTGTGGGGTAGGGGGTTTACAAGGGTGCAGAGAACACTTCCCAGCACTTGTGAGTTTTGGGGGAGGTAGCCACAGGGGAGAAGGAGGAAATATCCACCTTTTCAGAGTTGTGGCTACTACTGTTGCTGCCCTCTTCCTGAGTCCTCATGCCGCATGGATAGGTGTTCAAGATGGCCATGATGCTGTTTATGATTCTGTATTCTCTTGTACTCCTTATTTGATATTTCAATTCAGTTTCACATCTTTTTTGCTTCAGTGTCGCCACCCTAGGTTCTCTGGTTCCCACAACAAGTGGACAAATATTACATATAGCTGCACTGGCTGTTTATAGTTCTGTGTTCTATTGTTTCTCTTTAGTCAATGTTTCAATTCAGTCTCTTCCTTCAGCATTTAAAGTAGTTTATCTTTGCTTTTGAAACTGTGAATTGACGATTTGTCGTCCCTATTGATTACCCTTGTCTTCTGGTGCAGAGGTTCTGAACTGCTATCTGCCTAGCCCACCATTCTGAGTTAGTTGCTCCTTAGAGGAAAGATGTGAAACTTTCTCTCACATACTTTAGACATGTTGTCAGGAAGGGCTTGGAAAAAGGAATCATGCTGGTAAATGTAGAGGGTGGGAGAAAGAAAGGAAGACCCTCAACATGATGGATTAACAAAGTGACTGTTAACAATGGTCATATCAGAGATGATGAGGAAAGCACAGGATAGGGTGGAGTTCAGATCCATTGTTCATAGGGTCATTGTGAGTCACAGTTTATTTGGAAAAGAATTGTTAAAATACCTCAGTCACAAAGGGACAAATAGTGTATAAGCCCATTGCTGTAATAATAGGATCAAGTCTAGGGCAGAGGGGAAGAGCTGGAAAAGAATGGACAGACAATGAATACTGCACTGGAATACGAGAAAGAAGGACATTCTGAAAGGAATGACAATTAGAAACAACGTGTATGACAATAGTCTTACAAGGGGAACTGGGAAGGGGAGGAAAGCATGTAAGAATGAATGAATAAAAAAAATAAGCCAACTTTTGGGACATAATTGTTTCAATATTCTCTTAGTTGGCAATGTGCATTTTCTAATCCTGCATCCAGGGAGGTGTCTTAGGACTTATGTCAGAAATTCTCTGGTGTTAAGTCAATACCTTCAGAATGGTTTGCTGGTCAGCAGTGATTCGAGCATTCTCCACCTGAACGGTCTGAAGCATGTTGCTCAGCTCCAAACACTTGGTACTCAGTTGGTCATTCAAAACCTAAGATGAAATATACAGTCAGCCATAGATCTCTCTATTAAATAATAAATATATAGCTTTTAATTACTGTAATGTATTCCTCCATATATGTAGACCTAATTTATTGAACCCATCTACAATTGGTATTTCAATAGTTTACAAACATTTTCTAATCATGGGAGTCAATACCCTAAATAATTATAAATTAAAAAGAGATTTTTAAAAAACAGTGTGGAGCATCTGAGGCATTCAGTAGTTTGCTGATCTTTTATTTCTGACAATATGGAACACTTGTTAGTTATAATAAGTCATTCAGAATGAGAATTTACCATGTAGGTACATAGGAAATAGTAAAAAAAATATATTCTGATGGTGTGATGATAAGAATTCCGAACTTTTTAGCTGACAATACAAAATGATTAAGTTCCTAAATCAACAGTTAGTGTTCATAAAAGCAAATTATAAATGACTATAAAATCTCCCAAGCATAATATTTAAAAAAAAATCCTTTTGTGCTACAGTTATTTTACCTATATATGAGAAGGAAGTCCATGTTTTTCTATGGAAAAGCTAGTAGATTCCAAACTACTGACCTGTTAGCCCAATGCACTGCCCATTATGTCACCAGGGCTCCTTGAATTAGTAAAATGCGATTAAAATTATGCATGGAAATATAAAGGATACAGTAAAAGCTACCTAACATTAAAGGAGAAGGAGTTATGGTTATCACTACTTTGAAAAAGATGATACTTCTATCTTCTTTATCACAGAACACTGAAATATTATGGTCCTAGCATGGAAGAAATTAAATGCTAGTACTAGAAAAATACTTTTAAATGATAAATACTATTTTATCTATTTCACTACAACTTTACATATAAATACATGTATAGATAAATAGATGTTATGTGCTGTCAAGTACAACTCATAGTGACCCCATGCACAAAAGATCAGTCCTGTTCTGTACCATCCTCACACTTTCTGACACAAGAGCCCATTACAGCAGTCACTATGTCAATACACCTAGTTGAGAGTCTTTCTCTCCTTTGCTAACCCTCCACCCTTCCAACATCATGTCCTTCTCCAAAGAATAGCAGCACCTCCTAGCAATATGTCCAAAGTATGTGAGGTGAAATCCATTATTCTTTCCTCCAAAGAGTACTCCAGCTGCACCCTCTCCAAGACAAATCTATTCGTTCTCTTGGCTGCCCATAGAATGTTCAGTGCTCTTCTCCAATGCCACAGCTCAAAGGTGACAATTATTTTTCTGTCATCCTTGTTCATTGTCCAGGTCTCGGATGCATAGTTAGTAACCAGAAAGACTATGGCCTGAATCAGACACACCTTAGTCCTCAAACTGATATCACTACTCCTCAATAATTTGGAAAGGTCCCTAAATGTAGATTTTCCCAGTGCAATGCATCTTATTTCCTGACTGCTAGTACCAAGGGTTTTAACTGTGGATTCAAGCGAGATGAAGCTGTTGACAATTTCAATCTCCTCTCTGTCCATTATGACACAGCCTATTGGTCCAGTGGTAAGAATCTTTGTTTTATTGATATTGATATGCAACCCATAGTGAAGGCTGCATTCCTTGATCTTCTGCAATAAGTGCTTCAAATCCTCCTCACTTTCACCAAATAAGGTTGTGTCATTTGCATAATGCAGATACACACATACACACACACACACACACACACACACACACACACACACACATTTCTTGTTGTTGCTATTGTTACCTACTGTCAAATAGGAACTGACTCATAGCTGATCCTCCAGAAAGTTTTACAAAAAAATAAATTAGCCTTTTCTACGAAGATGGCGCCAAAAGCTAAGAAGGAAGCCCCTGCCCCTCCCAAAACTGAAGCCAAAGCAAAGGTATTAAAGGCCAAGAAGGCAGTCCTGAAGGGCGTTCACAGCCAAAAAAAAGGAAGATCCGCACGTCACCCACCTTCCCATGGCCTAAGACGCTGAGACTCCAAAGGCAGCCTGAATACCCCCGGAAGAGCGCCCCCAGGAGAAACAAGCTTGACCACTATGCCATCATCAAATTTCCCCTGACCACTGAGTCAGCCATGAAGAAGACAGAAGATAACAACACACTTGTGTTCATTGTGGATGTCAAGGCCAATAAGCACCAAATTAAACAAGCTGTAAAGAAGCTCTATGACATTGATGTGGCTAAGGTCAACACTTTGATTAGGCCTGATGGAGAGAAGAAGGCCTATGTTCGACTTGCTCCTGATTATGATGCTTTGGATGTTGCCAACAAAATTGGGATCATCTAAACTGAGTCCAGCGGGCTAATTCTAAATATAAATTTTTCTCACCACAAAAAAACAAACAAACAAAAAAACTAGACAAGAGAAGATTGTCCATCTTTCTTAGTTGGAGCACTTGTTGAATTAAAACCAGCTGCCTTCAGGTTGGCAGTTCAGCTCCTTACCACTAGGGCACCGGAGCTATATGGTTGTTGCTAAGTGCCCTTGAGGTGACTACAAGCCATAGTGATTCTATGAACAAGAGAACTAACTTTTCCCTATCCTTCCTTATCCTCAGTGTCTCTGACATGCTTGAGGGCATTGTTGTAACCACTGTGTCAGTGTATCTTGTTGGTGGTCTTCCCCTCTTTCTGTCATTGTCTACCTTTCCAAGTATAAAGGACTTTTACAAAGACTGGTCCCCCCTGGCAACATACCCAGAGTATGTGAGATGAAGTTGCATCACCCTTGCCTCTAAGGTGCACCCTTATTGCACTTCCAACTCAGACTTGTTTGCTCTTTTGGAAGTCCATAAGATATTCAGTACTCTTCTCCAACACTACAATTTAAAGGCACTAGTTCGTCTTCTGTCATCTTTATTCACTGCCCAACTTTCGCATTCATAGGAAGCCATTGAAAAGACAACGTCTTGGGTTAGGTGCACCTTAGTCTTTACCCTGACATCCTTGCTCTTTAGCATTTTTTCCATTAATTTTTTTTTAATTTAAATAAGTATTCAGACTACTTGATATTGGGTTCCATTCTTGGGCACAGTTTCTCATGGAATTTACATATGATCAGTTTTTTTAAAAAAATACCCTAAGATAATTTCATTATTCTCATTCACTTTTGAAGGAAATAGTAATGTCCAAGATCTTAAGCCCTTTCATGCACACATTATTCCAGGAGGTAATAGGGCCTCAGCTCCAAGTTTTTAGGGCAGTCTGATTTTAAGAATGACCTTTTGAAACTGCTTCTTTTAAACTTGCTGCAGTTTCAGAGATGGTCACTCTCACATCTACAAGTGAGTTGTGTTCCTTTTTGCCTCCAAGGAGTCCTTTGGTTCCAGAACAGGTCAGTGTGGTGCCAGTAAGTGCAACCCAGAAACCCAAGGTCTGAGATAGGCATGGAGAAGAAATATGAGATTTATCCCATACACAGTAGATCTAAAATACTCTAGTTAATGAATGCTCTCGTCCAGGAAAATTCTGAAGCCTCCTGGTGTTGTACTGAGAAAGCCCTGGACAGAATTCTTCTCATGCTTGAACTTCTCCCTACTCTGTCCTTACCAGTTTCAGAAACTTGGACAGCACATTCCTGTCCTAGACAGGTCTAATGATTAGTTCTGCTCTTTAGCATTTTAAAGAGGTCACTGACAGCCGATTTTCCCAGTGCAATGTCCTTTCTAATTTCTTGTCTGCTGTTATCCTGGTTATTGATTGTAGATACAAGTAAAATGCAATTAGTGACCGCTTCAAACTTTTCTCCATTTATCATGATGTTGCCTATTATTCCGATGGTGAGGATTTTTGTTTTCTTTACACTGTGCAGTGCTGATTGCAGCTCAACAATCAATACTGAAGGCTGTAGTCTTTCATTTTCTGTAGCAAGTGCTTTGAATCCTCTCCACTTTGAGCAAACAAGGTTGTGTCAATAAGTCTTCATCCGATGACAATTTCCAGGCAGTCCAACTTCTCAAACGAGTTGCTCAGCATACAGATTAAATAGGTATGGAGGAAGGATACAATTCTGACACATTTCCTGATTTTAAATCATGCAGTGTTCCCCTGTTCAATTAGAATAAAGGCTTCTTAATCTATGCATAAGTTTTACATGAGCAAAATTAAGCGTGCTGGGATTCTCATTCTTCTCAATGTCATCCATGATTTCTGGTCAAATGTCTTTGCATAGCCAATAAAACACAGAAAACATATTTTTGGTATTCTGTTTTCAACTAAGATTCATCTGATAATAACAATGATATCTCTTGTGCAATGGCCTCTTCTGAATCCAACTTGAATTTTTGGCAGTCCTCTGTCTATGTATTGTTCTAGCCATTTTTCAATAACCTTCAGCAAAATTTTACTTTCATGTAATATTAATAATATTGTTTGGTAATTTTCACATACTGTTGGATCCCTTTTTTGGAAAAGGGAACAAATATAAATTTCTTCCAGTCAACTGGCCCAGTAGCTGTGTTGCAAATTTCTTGGCATAGAATAGTGAACATAACCAGGGCTAAATCTGGTTGTTGAAACATGTCCATTGGTATGTCATCAATTTGCAGAGCCTTATTTTTTTGCCAATGCCTTCAGTGCAGCTTGAATTTCTTCTTTCATTACCACTGGTTCTTAATCATATGCTACTTCTTGAAATGGTTCCATGTCAGACTATTCTTTTTGGTACAGTGACTTTATTCCTTCAATTTTTTTTCCCCTTTTAAGTCAGTAAGGAAAAGACATTTCTTAAAATAAAGAGCTCTTTGTTAGGATTTTAGGAAGTTCTCAGGCATGGTACATCAGTGAAGATAGACTATGCAGTGCTGGCAGAAGGACAGTTAAAAGGCAGGAAGGAGAAAAAAGACACTCTCAAAAAGATAAGAATAGGTTACCCCCACTGACGGGCTGAGGGGAAAAAAAGACATCCTTCCATCTTCTTTCTTTTTTTTTCTTCCATCTTTTTTTGATGCTTTCTGTATCATTTAAGATTTTGCCCATAGAATTATTCATATTGCAACTCAAAGCTTAAATTTGGCTTTTGTTTTTGTTATGTGCTGTTGTGTTGACTATGACTCATACTGATCCTATACATAGTAGCTCTGAACCCTGCCCCTCAGCCCTTAATATGGATTGATCTCAATAATGAGAAGACAAAAATCCTCACCACTGGACTAATAAGCATGATAAATGAAGAAAAACTTAAAATTGCCAATGATTTCCTCTTACTTGGAACCACAGTCACCCATGCTACTAGCAATCAGGAGATGTATTGCAAAAGGAAAGTCCACTGTCAGAGACCTGAAGAAAAATGATGTCAGTTTGAAGACTAACATGCTGATTGTGGCTACGCATCTGAGAGCTGGTCAATGAATCAGGATAACAGAAGAATTGATGCCTTTGAGTTCTAGTGTTGGAGAAGTACACTAAATATCTCATGGACTACCAAAAGAACAATCAGATATGTATTGGAAAAAGTGGTCAGAGTGCTTCTCAGAGGCAAAGATGGCAAAGCTTCATCTCACATACTTTGGCCATGTTGCTAGGAGAGACTATTCTCAGAATGGGATAAAATGATTGGAAAGCTGGAGGGTCAGTGAAAGAGAGAAACCTTCAATGAAATGGATTGACATTGTGAGTGTAGCAATGGGTTCAAGTGTTTCAGAGATGATGAGGATGGCACAGGATAGAACAATGTTCAGATTTCAAAGCTGTTGTTTAAAGAGTTGCTATGATAGGGGAGCTCTGGTGGCCTAGTGGCAAGAAGCTGCACTGCAATCCCAGAGGTGCACGGTTCGAATCCACCAGATGCTCTGCCGAGGAAGGAGGGACAATCTCCTCCTGTATCAGTCAGATCTGATTTGACGGTACACGCACACACAAATAATAAAATAAAAATAAAAAATAAAAAAAAAAGAGTTGCTATGAGTCATACTTGACTTGACTGCACCTAATAAGAAAAAGATATATTTGAAGCTCTGGTGGCCTATGCTTTTGATTAAAAGCTACGCTGCAATCCCAAAGGCACATAAGTCGAATCCACCAGCTGCTCCACAGAAGAAACATGGGCAATCTCCTCCCATCAATTTACTGCCTCTGAAAACCCTCTGGAGGGCCAGCTAAGGATTGGTTCTAACTTAATGGCACATAAAACACACACACACACACACACACACACACACACACACATAAATATATGTAACCATGGTGGTTAAATAGTAAGGAGTTGTGTTGCAAAGGCAGATGGTTCAATTATACTAGTTACTCTGTGAGAGAATGATGAGCATCTTTCTGCGTGGTTTACAATCTCTGAACACTCGGTAAAGGGTCAACTGCGAGTCAGTTCTGACTCAATAGCACAAAACAACAATATACATAATACACACACATATACAATATGCATATAGATAGATAGCTAGATATCTAAATCAGCAGATTGAGAATCATAACCCCACAGAAGATGGTTACATATAACTCCAAAAACAAGTAATAATTTACCAGGTTCCTACAATACTCTTTGCTATAGAAGATGCAATGGAAGTACAAGAAATAGCCCTTGTTATTGAACTGTTCAGCAGTTAATAAGAGGGAGGGAGAGGAATCTATATGAAGAGTAAATTAAAAAGTAAACAACAGCAAAGCATAAACTACTGCACGATTTAGGAGTGTATCTTCCATACTGCCACAGGAATCTGGAGACGGAAATGAAGAATGCATTTGCTTTTATAATGTTACACTGATGAAGTAGATCATATGTAAATAAAAATTTGGATAATGAAGATGGTGTAAAATTATATAATCAGAGTTAATCCTGGTTCCTGGATTTTTACTTAGACAAAACTAAGTAACATCTGAAAACTGAAGATATGAGGTAGATTTACCTGTGCTTTTTCTGATGATTCTTTGAGAGATATTATCTCAGATCTCAAATACACATTTTGTTCATGTTCACTGTTGAAATAGCTCTGTACCTTCTATAAGAAAAAAAACCACAAAAACACCACACATACTATTTTCTCTGTGTTGACAGGTTAGCAGAGATTACATGTCAATTACTACATTATGTATTCTGTTTCCTGGCCAGTACCAGCTCAAGTTCTCCTATATACATAGGATACATAGGCAAGGGTCTTATAAGAAATTCTGAAAAATCTTTATATCTTTGTTCAAAAGGAGAAGGCAAAAGTGAGAAGAGGGGCAGAAGGGGGAGGAGAAAAATCGCTAGGGCAGCAGAGATTAGTGGACAGATAGGCATGGTGCAATGGGGCCTTGGTGAGACAGGGTGATGATCAATAGCAACTAATTCTATAAAGCACAATGTATACAAATGTATGAAAACCAATAAAAAAATCTTGATATCAACTCCTAAACTTCTCTTATTTGTAAATTATTTCTCAAAATGATCTATTAAATTTATTTAGACTCACATTGGAAATTTAGTTAGGAAAAATATCTATTCACCTACTATTTTGATATCAATAAGGTTTGGTGCTCTAAAAACAAATATTTATATTACATAAATATATACATATTTATATAAAATTTATATAAATACATGTATATTTAGTTGAAATATCAAACACAAACACATTCAAAGGTCCTTCAGATTTATGACTGGGAAGGTATTTTTAGGAAGAAATACCTAAAGGGTGCAACAGAAGAAAATGCACCCTCGCTTCTTGAAAAGAAATAATTATTTCTGTGATGGGAGAAAGGTAGTGGGGCTATGGTGGTAGAGCTGTGGACTGTGTGTGCTTTCTTAGAGGAACGGAAGGCCAGATGGAAGCCCTATAGAGAGGAAATCACTGTGCTAGTTCCCTGCAGAAACATGTTACGAAAGACAAACATAATAAAACAAAGGATGAGCTAGCATCCAGAGAATGTATTATAAACAAGATCTACATATCAAAACTAATTTAGAAATGCAGTAAGATAGAAAAGTCATTCTTTTTCTTACACTTAATTTTAAGACCTTCTTTGGTTTCTAATAACTAGCTTACAATAGGGCATAAATAACAAATGTCTAGTTTTTATCAGTTCATCTTCTCAAACTATAGTAATCCACATGGGATGATTTATTTCCTTATATCCTCTTGACAACAGTGTTAAGTGCATAACTCATTTACCTTGAAAAATGTTTAAATTATGTCTTTAAGAGAGCTAGGGGAATGGTAAGGCAACACAGAAAAAAAAGAAAATCTTATTGAGTGAAGAGAGAGGAAAATCTTTTAACTCTACAAACTCAAAACTTACCTTATTTTCATCAACCAACTTAGAAATCAGGTCATCTCTAGAAACTAAAAACAAAAATAACAACAACAAGAAAAACCCCTCAAACATGTAACTATGAAAGTTAATTAATTACATTGAAACCAAATGGTATTTTTTTCCCTGAGAAACTATTTTTTTTAGCCTATATTTTGCAGAAATAAGGAGCAAGAGCACTGGTGGCTAGTGGCAAAAAACTGTGCTGCAATCTTATATAGGCAGGGAGTTCAAATCCACCAGCTGCTCCATGGGAGAAAGATGGGCAGATCTCCTCGCACGCAGTTAACTGTCTCTGAAAACCCACCAGAGAGTCAGTTATGAGTCGGTTCTGACTCGATGGTACACCACAACAAGGTGTAACCTGTATTAAAAACTTAATTTTTAGGTGTTTTGTAATTATTATTTTATAATATTTAAGTGAAAATAAATAAAAGAGTTCTTTTTCTGTGAAGCCAAATGTTCCCCAGTTTTCTGCTTTTTCTATTCTCTTGATTTCATGTTTCTTTTTTCACATAAAATCATCCCTCTGAGCTTCAGAACAATATTTTGCTGCCAACTACATGTTTCAAATTGGTTATTCTGCAAATACTGAAAATAAAGTGATGAAAATCTCTTTTCCTCATTTTGTCCCCTAAACCTACTGCCTGAAATGTATTTCCCATTTAGCAAGCTCTCCGTTCACTCTGCTCTCCAAGAACCAGGTGTTTTCCTCAACACCTTTTCCTCACTAATCACCCAAGTCCTGACCATCTTCTTTGTTTAATATTTTATTCATCTTTTTCCCTTGCATCCCCACTGCCATATTTTGAACTGGCATTCTCTTGGACCCAGACCTCTTCATTTCCCACTTCAGCTACTGTAATCACAACCTGCTTTACAGAACCACCTCTGTGAGAAAGATGTCTATAACAACATGTGTGTGTGCACAGTCTCCCAACATTAACATCTCCAGAAACTCCGTGCTTATGTACATAAAGTGTTCTTTAGAGTCTAGCCTATGTAAATAAAGAGTTATTTAGGGTAAATTCTAATTATAACTTTAAATAAGTGAAAGATCAGAAAGGTAAAATACATGGCCTTACTTTGAAAAGCCTAAGCCATATCGAGAGAGACATAGATTTAATATGAGGAGCCTTGATGGTTACCTTACTAACAGGCTACCAGATCTCCCCAGTCTAAAACATTGTGGTGGTGGGGGTGTGTGTTGTTGAGTTGGAACTGACTCATAGCTGACATTCTAGTGGGTTTTTAAAGGCAGTAAATCACACTGGAGATTGTCCTCTCTCTCTCAGCTCCGAAGGAATTGGCAAAAAACAAGGCCCCAGGAACTGATGGCATACCAATGAACATATTTAAACAAATGCGCCCTGGACGCACTCCTGAGGTTGTGCCAAGACATTTGGAGGACAACTACCTGGCAACTGTCTGGAAGAGATCCATATTTATTACTGTTCTAAAAAAAGGTGGTATTAGAGAGTGTGAAAAGTATCAAATAACAGCATTAATATAACATGCAAGCAAAATCCTGCTGAAGATTGTTCAAAAATTACTGGAACAATACTTCAGAGGAGAACTGCTAGACGTGCAGGCTAGTTTTAGAAGAGGCTGTGATACTAGGGACATTACAGTCAATTTTAGATGGCCCTTATCTGAAAGCAGAAAGTATCAGAGGAATGTCTATCTGGGTTTCATTGACTAAGCAAAGGCATTTGACTGTCTGGATCACAACAAACTGTGGCTGACACTGAGAAGAATAGGAATCCCAGAACACTTGATTGTGCTTAGGCAAAACCTATACTTGGATCAGGAAGCAGTCATTAGAACAGAGCTTAACACTGCAGGGTTCAAAATCAAGAAAGGTGTACGCCAGGGATGCATCCTCTCTCCACACTTTTTGAATCTATATGTGGAACAGATCATCTAGGAGGCTGGACTTTATGAACAGGAATGTGGTATTAGGATTGGAGGAAGACTCATTAACAACCTGTTATGCAGATGACACAACCCTGCTTGCTGAAACTGAGAAGGGCCTGAGACATTTGCTGCCTTGACTATGGATTAAAGCTGAACAATAAGAAAACAAAGATTCTCAGCACTGAGCCAATTGGCAGCATACTGATAGATGGAGAAGAGATACACCTAGATCTAGAGAGAGGGAGGGAGTGGGGGGAGGGAGGGTGTGTGTGGTTGGGGAGAGAGAGAGAGAGAGAATACACAAGCTAGCTCTGGTGGCCTAGGGATAAGAAGCTGTGCTGCAACTCCAAAGGCACTTGGTTTAAATCCACTAGCTGCTCCATGGAAGAAGGATAGACAATCTCTTCCCATGCAGTTTACTGCCTCTGAAAACTCACTGGAGGGTCAGCTATGGGTCAGTTCTAACAACAACAAGTTTATATAGCTGTGCTGCAATCTCAAAAGTATGTGGTTCTAATCTACGAGCTGTTCCACAGGAGAAGGATGGTAATCTCCTCCTTTGCAATTAACTGCCTCTGAAAACCCACTGGATGGTCAGCTATGAGTAAGTTCCAACTTGAAGGCAAAAATACAACAACAAGTATTAATAGTTAATAAAAAGAAACGATGAAATCATTAATTCATTGACGTGAATAGCTAAACACACCTCTTTTAGAAGATAGCTACAATGACTTTAGAATAATGAAATTGTATGTATATAAACAGTCAACAGGGAGCTCTGGTGACTTAGTGTCAAGGAGTTGTGCTGTCAACCCAAAGGCACACAGTTTGAATCTATTAGTAGAAGAAAGATAAGCACTGTCCTCCCCTGCAATTTTGGGTCTGAAATCCACCTGAGGGTCAGCTGTGGATTGATTCTAACTTGACAGTACAAAGCAACCACAGCAAACAGCCTATAATTCTATATGAAGCACACCGTGAGTAGTAAGATAGACCTCTTTTCCCCGTGTCAGAGTGGTAGTTATTTTAATCTTGCTTTAATTTTTTCCCCCATGGTTATCTGCATGTTCTTCACAAATGTGAAGAAAAATGAAGCATTAAACTTGTCAGAAAGTAACATTAAAAACTCACTTGATGAGTAGGGTAACTAAAAGAATGAAAAGATCTACATTTTATATTGAGCCCGGCTATCCTAGTGGGAAGGAGTTGTGCTGTCAACCCAAAGGCACAGGGTTGAAAGCCACTAGTTTCTTTGTGGGAGAAAGAAGGGTAATGTCTGTTGATGCAATTTACTGCCTCTGAAAACCCACTGGAAGGTCTGCAATGGGTCGGTTCTGACTCAACAGCACACAGCAACCATGTTTTAAACTGCGGAGACATGGTAGCTTAGGTATAAAGACACCAACAGGGCTCCTCATATTAAATCTTAGCCTCTAGAAATCAAATGTTCCCAAGTACACATACACTTAAGCCAAATACCTCAAGGGAGGGGAAATCCCTATTCATACTCAAGAGAGTTAAACTCTACTTTATTACTAATATTCATTTTTATCTCAGTGTCAGAGCTAGAAATTAGCAAGGTTTTACCTTCAGGACGGTGGGAAACAAGAGTAAGACATCCCACTTCAAGAATTTGGGCCTCAAAAATCTTTCATGAAATTGCAAAGAACTAATAACAGTATGATTTCTAGCATTTCATCTCATTTCATTTAATTTCATACTTAGATCACACTTGAGCTGTGAGGTAGTAGCTTCCAACTCTTCTCTTTTCTCTTGCTCCTGTACCAGTAATGCTTGGGTAGTTTGTATAGAATTTCGTAGGGCACTACAGTTTTCCTGCAGAACTTGCACCTGAAATTGCATGAGAAAAGCTCATTTTCTGTAAGGTAAAGATTTCCAATAAACTACACACACACATATCACATGTGCAAGGGAGAAATTTCAATCTTCCAGTCATTTGGGGAAATGGTGGAGTTTGTTTTATGTAACAGTTGAAGATTCTATCAAAGTGCAGTGTCCTTAGTACAGCTGCCCACGACTTACTTTGAACTCCACAACTTACACTGACTAGTCAAATATGGCTACAGAGCACCTGGAAAGTGGACAGTTACTGAGAAACTGAATCCTCAATTGTACTTCATTTAAATTTAGACAGTCATAGGGCTTGGGCTGCAATATTGAACAGTGGGGTCATTTTCAAACTCCTAAATTCCTTTTTTTTTTTTTTAAGATGCCAAACAAATCTATTTTATTATGAAATGAAGGCTTTGATTAAGAATATATTTTTATTAGGCATTTTGGTAACAAATAGGACTTTGTTGATTTATCCACTGTATTATTTTTAAAAAGTAAATGAGAACCACTCCTTTTTCTTGAAGGAGAAATTACTTCTCTAGCTGTTGAGGGGTGCTAAAAGCTTCATACACATTAGCAGCAAAATCTTTCACTTGTTCCATCGTCAACAGATCCTGAACAAAATGACTAGGCGTTTCACTGCACACTGAATGGATCTGTCCGTTTATTATCGGGATTATCTTGGCTAAAGGCAAGCTGACACTGGAGAGACTGTCCATGGAGTTGCCACGCTGCAGGTCCTGCTCCGTAGGACGGAAGAACTCAGCCATATTATCCAAGAGTCTACTGAAGCCTCGATTTAAACAGGTGTTCAGAACTGTACTAAAATCTGGACTTTCTAACATGTCTCTTGTTTCATTGAGTAGCTTAATAGTGGTAACATCCATAGGAGAAAGCCCACAGGCCTGAACTGCCAATGGAGTTTCTTCATCTGGCATCATATAATGGCATAAAAAAAGATTTGGATCCATCTTTTTTTTTTGGATCCATCTTTATTAATCCAAAAAGAAGGTTTATGTTGCTCAACGAAACTTCTGATTCCTTTAAGTTTTTGTTCCAAGTCCAAAAGGGACAAAGAATGCTTAAGAGACACACTTCCTAAAATCTTCTGCACAGCTTGTTTAATGACTGTGATCAATTCAGTCAGGCCATCTCCAAGGAGGTGTTGAATACTTGATAAATATTGTTGTTGGACATCTGGAGGAGCAAGAAGTGTAGTGCCATTTTTGCCAACTGCAGCATTATCCAGGTATACGTATCCACCAATTATGTTTAACTAGACTCGCAAAAGAACCACCAGCATACAAGTGCTGTACACAGCTACGATGCTTCTGGTAAAACTTATTATCTTCAGATCCTCCCATATTTCTACTTTGTTTGAAGGCCTGTTTTTTAGCAGAGCTGTGAGGCTCTCAGAATTGAGCTGCTGCATTAAGGCCTCTCTCAGTGTTGGAAGCATGGACAGCACGGTCATGTTGCCTGTCCTCTGGTTACTTTCAAAATGATACTGTCGTCTTGCTTGAGCAATGTACTCGGCAGCCTCTCTTTCTTGTATTTTTCGGATTTTCTTCTGTCCATATTTCCCCAGGATATATACTCCTCCAAGGACCGTGGCCAGGAAGATGCATTTCTTTTTGTGACGTTTCAGAAAATTCCACATAGATCTCAGCATCTTCAGGCCCCAGGCGTGCGAGGGGCCGTGGTGTCAGGAGTGGTCCGCCGGGGAAGTTGGTCCTCTGACACCAGGCCGGGAACTCGCACCGGCGCCAGTCGGTGCACACAGGCGGCGGAGCTGAGAGGGGGCGTGGGCACCGCCACCTGAGCGGGCCGGGGGCGTATCCTGGAGCCTAGCGGCTGCGCCCCCGCCACTCACTGGCTCCTGGCGCTCCCTAAATTCCTTTTTATAGTTAAACTGTGAAGGCTAGCCATTGGTAAGAATGAGAAATATTATGGAATCCAATTATTTAGAGTTGAAACAAATAATTGTCTTGGTCATTTAGAATATATATATTTATATTTTCCCACTAGTTTATTTACAAAATTTGAATACAAATTTGAACAAATTCTTTCAATTTCCCTCACCCCCCATCAAATTGTACATTTAGAATATTAAATACTCTAAATTACATGCAGAAATCTACTAAGAACTGCTGAAATGACAATGGTGGACTAATGGTGAGAACTGAAACCATCAGTGTGAGCTCATTGCTGATTACTCCAGTCATTGTTCTCTACTTCAGGTACTTGCTCAGTTTTGCCTTTGTTTTCTGTCCACATCCAGACATAGACTAGGGCACTAACTTCCAAAATCAGTGTCTGTGGTATTGGAGGAAGGGTACTGTATCGTCTCACATACTTTGGGCATGTTGCAAGGAGGGACTAGTCCTTAGAGAGGGACATCATGCTTGGCACGGTGGAGGGACAGTGCAGGAGAGGAAGATTCTTAATGAGATAGATTGATTCAGTGACTGGGGTACTGAGGGGAGGTGTGTCAGAGACAGTAAGGTTGGTACAAGATAGAGCAAGTTTCAAGGGATTTGTACGTTGGGTCTCTGTGAGTTGCAAGTGACTCGAAAACACATAACAACTGTACCAGGAGTCCAAACTTCTCCTCTATAAAGTTTGAGAAAAATTAGCTTCTCTGGTCCTTAGCGTGCACATTTAGAAATGAAGAGAATTATACTTAACTATATTAAGGTCCTTTCTTATTTTTTAATTTTTAAAATGAAAGTGTATGTTAAAAGAGCAGTATTATAGAAAACAGTAATTTAACAAATCTATGGAAATTAATGAAATTATAAATTTATCAGTAATATATTACTTGTCTATTTCTGCTTTCACCTTCTCAACATAAACAAGGCGAGAAAAAAAAATCTCTCTACCTGTTTCCGTTCTGCCTCCACTGTTGATTCCATTTCTTGTATTTTGAGTAGCATGGTTGATCCAGATTTCTCAAGAGACTCCCTTAGCTGCTTCTCCTGGGATAGTTGTATCCTTAGCTACAGAGCAACACTACAGTTAGGCAAAACCAACTTGGATACTGTACCAGTTTAGCAAGTCTCAGAATCACCCTGAAAAGTTTATCATATACTGCTGTCTCATCTCCAAACATTATTCTTCCTTTAAAAACTATTCAGAAACACAATTTCCCCCCAATGAATGCCTTAGTGTATATATAAATTTATTAGTGCATAGCTACATTTATTGCCCTTATATTACTATTGTATATGTCTGTTTTAACAATTGTGCATCAAGAACCATCAGTATGTTGTAAAAAGCCCTTGGAAAAAGAAGTAGAAGAGGGGGAAAAATCAGGATGTACAGCAAATTGTAATAATAAAGTTTCATAAAGAAAGTATTTCTATGTGTGGATGAAACAGTCCTTGGAGGTTAAAGAACAATTAACATCAATACTGCTTAAATTCTCCCAAAATATATAGACACAAAGTCTAATCCAATTCATTCCATAAAGCAAATATAACCCTGATACCAAAACAAGACAAAAAGCAAGATATAGGATAGTCAGTATCTTTTATAAATATGTTGTTGTTGTTGTTATGTGCCACTGAGTCACCTGTGAGATGTAAAAATCCTCAACAAAATAATAGCAAATAGAATCCAACTGAATAGTAGCAGTGTTCTACATCATTAGCTTTCATTCTGAATGAATGAAGGTCTCTAATGTTCTGTAGATCAATGATGTCAGTCTAAAGACTAAGGTGCACCTTATTCAAGCCACAGTCTTTCCAATCACCATCATACAGATGAAATCTGGACTATGAATATGGACGACAAAAGAATAACTGATGCATTTGATTTGGATCTGGGAAAAGTGATGAATATCCCATGCACTGCCAAAAGGCTAAAGAGGTCTTGGAGAAAGTGCAACAAGAGTATTCTTTAAAGGCAAAGATGAAGCTTTATGTTAGGAGAGGCTATTCTTTGGATATGGACATTATATTTGGAAAGATGAAGAGTCAATGAAGAGGAAGACCCTCAACAACATGGATTTATAGAGTGTCTGTAATGATAGACTCAAATGTGTTGAAGACAATGAGGATGGCGCAAGATAGGACAGAATTCAGATCTGTGGTTCATAGGTTTGCTGTGATTCCTACTCGACTTTATGGCACTTAACAATCATCAAATGGGATAGAGTTCATCATTAGAAAAGCAATCAACTTAATAAACCACATCAATAGAACAATGGGAAAAATTATATAATCATGTCAATTGAAGCTCAACACCAAGAAAACAAAGATTCTCACCACTGGACCAATTGGCAGCATCATAATAGATGGAGAAGAGATTGAGATTGTTAACAGATTTAATTTGCTTTGTTCCACAATAAACGCTCTTGTACTAGGAGTCAGGAAATCAAAAGACAAATTGCATTGGGAAAATCTGCTGTCAGGGACCTCTCTGGAGTACTGAGAAGCAATGTTGTCAATCTAGAGACCAAGCTGAGCCTGATCCAAGCCTGGTCTTGTGATTACTTACAATGCCTCAGACAGCTGGACAATGACTAAAGATGATAGAAGAATAATTGATGCCTTTGAGTTGTAGTGCTGAAGAAGACTATTGAATGTACCATGGGCTGCTAAGAGAACAGCCAGATCTGTCCTGGAGAGGGTGAAACCAGGCCCTTGGATTTTGAAGCTTCATCTCATATACTTTGGGCAGGCAGGAGGGACTGATCCTTGGAGGACATAATGCTTGGAAGGGTGGGGAGATAACACAAGAGAGGAAGACCCTGGAAGAGATGGATTGACTCAGTGACTGGGCTAATGGGGGTCAGTGTGTCAGATACAATGAAATTAGCTCAAAATAGAGTAGGATTCAGAACTCTTGTAGATAGGGTTGCTATGAATCGAAAGCAACTTGGCATTACATATCAAATAGATATAAAAAATCGTTTGATGCAATCGAGCACACTTTATTAATTAATACTCCGAAGATTATAGGGCTAGATGAGAAGTTTCTCAACATGATTCAAAGCATATAAAAAAAGCCAAAAGTAAATGTTATACTTGCCTATTAAGGCAAGGACAAAGTTTTTCCCTTGACATTCCAGATAAGAGAGCCTGCTCTCACTCGTCAATTCAATATTTATTAGAAGTTGCTGAGAGACCAATGTGACAAGAAAACAGAATCAAATGTATACAAATATCAGAGACAGTACTAGAGGCAGAGCCCATATGGTGGAAGATAGTAAAAAAATCAGGAGAAACACCTGTAAATACCATTAATAACTGGATCATGGAATGCATGGAGTACAAATGTAGGAAACTGGAAGTTATAAAAATGAAGTGGAATATATAAAGATTGACTTCCTAGGCTAGCTGAGAAGGACTAGCATTGATCACTCTTAATTAGACAATCTTATGATGTACTATGTTGGGAATGAAAAATTAAGGAAGAATGTTGTTTCATTTAAAGTAAAAAAGATCATTTCAAGATCTCCTGGAGTACAATGCTGTGAGTGATAGAATATTGTCCATACACATATAAGGTACACCAGTTACTACAACTGCTATTCAAACATACCCACCAAGAGCTAAAGTGAAGGTGAGTAAATTTGAGGAGTTCCACAAACTTTTGCAGCCTGAAATTGACCAAACATGCAGTTAAGATGCTTTTATAATAATTAGTGACTGGAATGCAAAAGTTGGAAACAAAATAGGATTGGTAGATGTAAATTAGGGAGTTGGGGACAGAAATGAGGTGGAGATCAAATGATTGCATTTTGCACATGCAATGATAATAGCTTTTAGCAGCAGCCTCGTTCTTAACTCTCACTGTGCTACATACTAAAAGTAGGCCAAAATGAAGGTTTCAAGAGATAACCAGGTTTACTGAAAGCTTTTTCTTTTAAATGCAGCTTTTGACTTAAAGTCTTTTGCAAGAAGATAAAGCTGTAGAAATTTTGTAATAATAATTTGTCTCCTTAGAGAACATTTTTTGTTGTTTGTTTTCCAGTTTTAAGCAATTCTAAAATGAAAGAAAATCTTACATAAAGGGAGATATTTCACTGGTATTTAATAAAGCCTTTTTTACATTCTCTACTACACAATTACACATTTTCTTTTGCAAAGGTTTCTTTTGAATCTTTTCCTCTTTTTTTTTTTTTACTGAGTTTACTTCCCTCCTGCAATTCTACCCCGCCATGGCATCCTTCTTTATTACCTCCTGAATTTTAAGGTTCATTTTACGTTTCGTGGTCTTCAGTTCCTCCTCAATTTTAGCTGCATTTTTCTAAAAGTAGAAAGAGAGAAGCTTCAGGTTCATATACAAGGACAGGAAGGAAATCTTGACAGGTATGTCAGTTCAAATCGAGACTTTTTTCTGACAACGTGTAAATGCTATTTTTAATACAATTTAAAATCCTATTTTAAATACAATTATAAATTCCATTATAGGTCTGAGGGGGTTAACAATGGGATATTTACAAAGAAATAGTCTTGTATTAATTTTATCTATGAATTCTAATCATTCTCTTTTTAGATAATGAAGGGATCAGACACAACCAGCTCCTATGTAAAATTCAATAATCAGAGAAAATCATTCTTACAGGATCTCTTCCTATTTAAGAATGCAATTTCTTCTAGCTTCCACATTTAGAGCTTAAGAAGAAAAACAGGGCTTCTATTACTACTCCATTATAATTATTATGTACAGATATACAACTATAAATGGATATATAATTTCAAATATAAAACCTCAAGAGATATTGGCCTTCTTTTCTGCCTTTATTTAGCCCCTACTCAAAACCATATTCTAGCACTACTTTCTCTATAGAATATTTCTTTTTCCTTTCAAAATAAACCTAAGTCAGAACTGATATGGCTCAAGTCTCAAATAATGCAATGTATTTTTTAAAAAAATTATTTTATTATTAGTGTGTGTGTGTGTGTGTGTGTGTGTGTGTGTGTGTGTGTTTGTATACCATCAAACAGGATTCAACTGGTACAGGAGGAGATTGGCCCTCCTTTCTCCAGTCCATCTGGTGGACTCAAACCATGTACCTTCGGGACTGCAGCCCAGCTTCTTGTGCAATGTAATTTTTTATCGTTTTTCTCATCTCCAATTTCTTCTCACCATAATCAATATTCGGTATTACTGCCAGATTAATTTTTCTATGTTGTTTATCAGAAATCTTAGCCAGTTTCCCCAGGATCAAGCCAACTAGTGCTTGTTCTTGAATCTGAGATCCTGCAAACAAATCTTCATTTCCTATCAGAGTCACTAAGATATTTCCCATTAACTGCCCCCCCTGTAGAAAGATCTAGATTCAAACCTCGGTTACAAGAAGTCAGAGATGAGTGATCTTGGATAAATTACTTCTTTCTGGGCGTTAATACTCTTATCATTAAAATGGGGACAAGAATGCCCTTGTACACAAGGTTTTCCAGAGATCAAAATGACATGGTTCAGTTTCCTTTCCTAGTGACTATACTTTGCTGCTTCTGTGTAGCTTCTCAGGGCTCATGTCTACCTTAAAATGTTCTCATTCCTGCCTCTTTCTTGAGACACTAGTTCTAGTATCCAGAAGCTGACCTAGACTACTGCATTCCGGGTAGGGTACCTTTACCCTCTCAAAGTTATCTGAACCCAAAGTACTTATTCTGCATATTCACTCTGTCCAGTAACATTTGCTTTTTCTGCATCAATGATATTTACACTTCTGGACCCTCACAGTCACCTCCTGTACAGGATATGTTGCTGAGAACCAAGTCACAGATGACCCACAAGTATGTTTTGTTGTTGTTATGTGCTGTCGAGTTGAGTACAACTCACAGCAACCTTACGAAAGCCAGATCTGACCACTATCCTATCCTGCACCAGAATACTTTAGAAAGCTCTAAATTGCACAGGAGACTACCCATCTTTTTTCCTTGGAGCAGCGGGTGGATTTGAACCACTTGCCTTTGTGTTGGTAGTGCAACTCCTTGCCCATGAGAGCTCCCTTATACAGGATAAATTCTCTATAAATATTTCATTTATCAATGACAGCACATAACATTTTAAGCTGTCAATGGAGATCAATTTCAAATGCCACATATCAACATCATTTATTTATTAAGGTCAGTTTTGTAAGCCTGTTGCTTCCTCCAGCTAAATGCTATGAATTTGTACTTGAGAACTCTGAACTCAAACCTCTGTCTCTGAGGCCATCTCCAGCGTGGCAGTTCGTCTCTGCCCTTCACCTTGTGCCCTGTCTTCTTCCTCTTTTACAATTTTCAGTTGCTGGTGCAAATTCTTTACTTTGAGATGCAACAGGTTCAGGTCTTTGGTATGCTCCTCTTGGACTGAATTCAGCCGATCCTTTAGAAATGCTACCAAGCAGCACAGTAGGGTCAGCAGGCATTGTTTCCCAGAAAAAAAGAAGCAGGTGAAAGAAAGGTGAGCAAAGAGGAAGACTCAAACGTACCAGGTTCTCCCACCAGACCAGGTGTCAAGATCCTCTTCTCTCTTTACCTGTTTTCTGTGGATTTAAATCCTTTTCAGTTTGAAGATGATAGATGTTCATCTTCAGCGTTTTGATGAGGTTTTCCAGGCGGCACATTCGGTTTACCAGAAACTCACAGTTCTTCCATGTTGAATCTGTTTTTCCTGAACAAGTGGATTCACTCGGGTTAGGGCTGATGACTTTCAGGCTCATAGGGTCTTCCACAGATTTTAGAGCTTCCAGATGGTCTCTAAACAAAGATCCCAATACAGCAATAAGATGGGCTGCAACATGTACAGGCATGACACCAATCACAAAAATTAGATTCCTTACTTACAAAGCATCTATTTGTTCCTCCAGATAAAAAAATAGAGAATATTACTACCTAGAGAATAGGAACAATATAAGATTAGTAAAGACAGTCTAATAATTGCTATTGGAACCTGATTTTTTTGGTCAACATATTTTTTGCATATTAAAATCAATGATACATAAAACACATTTTAAATGCTATTTCAGTATTGTTTATGGTAGCATGAAAGTAATATGTTAAAATTTTAAGAAAATTTTTAAACAATCATGTTAAATATTTCTAATTTCTTTCCAACATAATAACATTTGTATTACATTTATCTTTAACTGTTAAAAGATTTATTGAATTCAAAGGTGTTATATAATACTATTCATACTCTTATAGGACTTAGTAAGAGACCTTCAGAAAATATATGTCATCTTAAAGATAATCACACCAATGAGTTGGACATTGGCTGTTTAAAACCCAGTGCCATCAAGTTGATCCTGCCTCATAGTGACCATATAGAACAGGGTAGCACTGTTTTGTAAGGTATCCGTGGCTATAAATCCACACAGAAGCAGATTGCCACATCTACTTCCTCTAGAGTGGTTTGTGGAGTCAGATACGAATCACTAACCTTTGGGTTAACAGGACAGAGCTTTAACCATTGTGCCAACTTTCAATGTCCATAATTTCTTTTGCAGCACTAGGAAAAAAGGTTAATTCATACCTCATTTCTACAATGAAAACTTTTTTTGCAAATAGAGATACCATTCGACCCAGCAATTCCACTACTGGGAATATACCCCAAAGAGACCATAACTGACATCCAAGCAGATATATGCATACCCATGTTTATTGCAGCTTTGTTCACAAAAGCAAGGAGTTGGAAACAACCTAAGTGCCCATCAACAAAAGAATGGATAGAGAAGCTGTGGTATATTCACACAATGGAATACTATGCTGCATTGAAAAACAAGGAACGCATGCAATATTATTCAAAATGGGTGACCCTGGAGGACATTATGCTGAGTGAAATATCCCAGTCACAAAAGGACAAATACTGCATGGTGCCACTGGTATAGAACAGGACTGACATCAGGGTTGGGGCAAGACTGAGAAAAACTGGGTAAGTTATGTATACTGCATTGAAACAGATGAGGGAGGGAATAATTTAAAAGCGATAGATATATGATAGGGTATTATGGTGATCACAGGAGTCCAGAATAAAGGTTGCATAGTGGAATGTACTCGGGGCAGTGGAATTGTATACCAAAGAAGGAATCTTTCTTTTGCTTTTCAAAGAGAGGAGCGAACTGGGTGGGGGAAGGCTGGGCAGGGAGAAAAGTGCAACAGTGAATGAATGGAAATCCAAAATCTCTGTAAATGTTCATTAAAATTAATAAAATAAAATTTTTTTAAAAATTAGAACTTTTTTTAGGACTACAAGCTCTTTATTTAACATAAATCTAGGAAAAGAAAGTGAACTTCAAGTTATTTGTATAATCAACATTTTAGATTCCTTACCTTGACTAGAATCAATGTCTTTCATTTTAAAAATTATAAATTTTAATTGTATAAAAGCATACTGGTCTTAAATCTAATGTTAAAAGAGAGTATCAAAATTCATACAACCAACTAACAAACAGCAGTAATAGCTTTACTACAGAATGACAACTTGTTGTTGTTAGGTGCAGTCGGGCATGACTCAGAGTCACCCTGTTGTTGTTGTTGTTATGTGTCGTCGAGTCGCTTGCGACTCATAGCAACCCTATGTACAACAGCCCTAAACTCCGCCCTGTCCTGTGCCAATCGCACTGTCTCTAACACTCCCATCCCAATTATCCCAGTCACTGAATCAATCCACCTCATAGAGGGCCTTCCTCTCCTGCGCTGTCCCTCCACCCTCCCAAGCATGATGTCCCTCTCCAAGGACCGGTCTCTACTCACAACATGTCCAAAGTATGTTAGACGGAGCCTCAGAATCCTTGCCTCCAAGGAGCCACCCGGTTTAACCCTTTCCAGGACAAATCTGTTTGTTTTCCTAGCAGTCCATGGTATTCTCAATACTCTTCTCCAGCACCACAGCTCAAAGGCATCAATTGTCCTTCTATCCTCCTTGGTCATTGTCCAACTCTCTGATGCATAACAAGTGATTGTGAAGACCATGGCCTGTATCAGACGCACCTTAGTCTCCAGAGTCACCCTATGAATGAAATATCTGAACCCTTTTCTACCCTGTGCCATCCTCACTTTCTGAGCCCACTGTAGCAGTCACTGTGTCAACCCACCTACCCTCCACCCTTCCCATCATCATGTCCCTCTCCAAGGAATAGCCCCTTCCTAGCAACATGCCCAAAGTATGTGAGGCAAAGTCTCATAATGTTTGCTTCCAAAAAGCACTCTGGCTGCACCCACTCTAAGACATATCTGTTTGTTCTTTTGGTTGTCCACGGGATGGATGTTAAGTGCTCTTTTCTAACACCACAGCTCAAAGGCGTCAGTTCTTCTCTGATCCTTATTCACTGTTCAGTTCTCAGATGTATAGAAGTGATTGGAAAGACTATGGCCTGAATCAGATGTTCCTTAGTTCTCAAACTGACATAATTACTCCTCAATAATTGGGAGGCACTAACAACTCTATACTTTGCCAATATTTCCTGAGTGATGCTTAAATGAGACCATTATTTCTCAATTCTTTTAAAATTATACTTCATTGATTAAAACAATCACACCATGATTTCTTATTAATAAATACTGAAGCCAAATCTTTAACCTACAAAGTTCTAATTACTTCTTATTTATTACCTTTTATCACCAATGTCTAACTTTACTATTTCATCCCTCAGAGAACTGGTCTGTTCCTCAGCTATTCTCATCCTTTGTTGAAGTATAGTGAATGTTTCTGATGCTGTAGCATTGATGTTGGTTGGAGAGATAACTGGTCCGGAAACTGCAATTTCCATATGTGCCTGAAATTCAAATTGCAATGTTAGTGTGTTATATTATTGTTCAAAAGAGTAATTTCCCTTTTTGTGAGAGAATTGTACAGTCCTGTCCTGTTTAACTCAGAAATGACTGTATGTCTTGGTTTGTTTAACTAAACGTGAGTAGAAGGCTTAAGTCAGCGGCTTGTTCACCATCTCTCTTTGCCCTCTCCAATAATTTAGACAGTGCCCTAGATAGGATTTGCTTTGTGCACCAGTGTCTGAGAGCAAAGATGGCATGAAACAAAACCATGATCTGCTGATGATCTATCGATATATAGATATCAATATAGAGAGATAGGTAGATGTTGTTGTTCTTAGGTGCTGTCAAGTCAATTAAGACTCATAGAGACCCGATAAAGAGCAGATCTCAACCCTGTCCTATCCTAACCATCCACGTCATGCCTGACACACCAGAGACCATTGCTGAAGCCTAGTGTCAATCCACCTCGTCAGGGGTCTTTCTCTCCTTTACTGACCCTCCATCTTTGCAAGAATGATGTCCCTTTCCAAGGAATAGCCTCACCTACCTATATGTCCAAAGTATGAAAGTCAAAGCTTTGCCATATTTGCCTCCAAGGAGGAGTCTAGCTACACTTTTTCCAAAACATATTTGTTTGATCCTTTGGCAGTCCATGAGACACTCACAATTCTTTCCCAACACCACAACTAAAAGGCATCAATTCTTCTTCTACCATCCTATTAATTGTCTAGCTTTCAGATGCATAGCAAGTGACTGAGAAAACCATGGCCTGAATCATGTACAACTTAGTCTTCATAGTGACATCATTGTTCTTCAGCGTTTTGGAGGTCCGTGACAGCAGACTTGCCCAATACAATGTTGTTATTATGTGCTGTGGAGTCACTTGTGACTCATATCAACCCTACGTACGACAGCTCTGAACCCTGCTCCATCCTGAGCCAACCTTATCTTCTCCGACCTACCCCCATTACTCAATTCACTGAGCCAATCCATCTCATCAAGTGCCTAATGTCTCTGGAATTAGACTGTTGACCCAAGCAAGATTAAGTCATTAACAGAATCAGTCCTTTCTCCATCTATTATAATGTTGACTGTTAGTCATCTGGTGAGGGCCTTTGTTTTTTTGATATTGAGATACAATCTCAGCAAATGTTTCATATCCTCCTTACTTTCAGTAAGCAAGGTTTTGTCATCTACATAACACAGGTTATTAATTAGTCTTCTTCTGATCCCAATGTCACATTTCTCTGTAATTTATAGACTCTAGATTTGTGAATTATTTTCTCAGCATACAGACTGAATGTGTATCAGCCCTGATGTATACACCCTTTATGATTTTAAATCATGTGATAGTCTCCTGCTCCATTCGGACAACAGTTTCTTGATCTAGCTATAGATCTCTTACAAGGACAATTAAGTGTTCTGGGATCGAACATGCAATCAAGATGCATTGATAATAATGGGTGACTGGAATGCAAAAGTTGGGAATAGTGAAGAAGAATCAGTGGTCAGAAAACATGGGCTTGGTGACAGGAATGAGGCTGGAGATAGAATGATTGAATTTTGTAAAATCAATGACTTATTCATTGC